TGGTCGGATAGGGCTGGACCCTCTGGTTTGCTACACATGTAATGTTACAGGTCCTTCGGACTGGATCAGCACGTGCAGTGGGATAGATTGTTTGGATTTGTCACCTTCACATACCGCGGTGTATAGACGGCACATACGGGATTCTGATGATACATAGAACATGGTGAAATAATGTAACCAACACCTCACTGCATTCTTGATAAGACGAATAAACCAACCATAGGTTTTGCTCTTGGTCAAGCCACGAGAAACCCAACGAAATAGAGAATCCGACACCACTAACCTGAATAGAGAGCATCGTTTCTTCTTCAAGCCTTCTCAATCCATTCGGATGCTTAAATATTTCCCTTTACATGTACACTACATCATAAAACACACAACGAGCATAAAACCGCCAGAATAAAGCATTCCACGCCAGGAAGCCTTCTAATGCATCATCTACATATCTACAAGTAATTATACATGTGAACCGACCAACCCACACCTTTCTTCATATTTTTTCCACCTTCACTCCGACCATACCAGATGAACTTTTGATTTTTGCTTTCTGACCGTCTTGCAGTATGTCAGGAACAAGATCAGACCAGAGACCAACCAACTCCAACGTCCGCCGCAACCGAAACATAGTCCGCCGCGGAATCCAGTCTCTCACCTGTCACTCAGTGGTCTCCGAAGAAGGTCCACCGCCATTCCGCGCACGAGCACCACCACCATGACTGGCGCTACTCACGCCGACCTCCTCAACCGAGCTCTGCACCGCCCCTTTACTATCGATGAAATGCGAGATGCGATCGATCGGCAACCACGCGCTTTCCGGGGTGACCCAGTAGGAGATCAGGGCGAAGATGGTCACACCGGCCATGATGATGGGGGCGTCTTGAGTTTGCGCATTAGTTTTCCGGACCGTGAAGAAGGTGGTGATTTGAAGATCAAATGGGGGCAGGGGAGGAGACAGGACGTACAGTTCAGATTCGCCCCGGTGACGGGGAATTCATACGGGGAGAAGAGAATGGCGACGACCCAGGCGTTCCAGAAGACGCCGATGAACTGGAAGGGCTTGCTGAGGCGGCCCAGACTCCACTCGGGTTTGGGGAAGCGGTCGGGCGTGCACAGCAGCCGGCCCAGGCAGATGAGCCCGTAGGCGGCGGCGCTGGGGACGCCCGCGGCGGAGACCAGCGAGGTGAACGCCACGTCCGACGGCAGCAGCGTGCACGAGATCAGGGCCGCCACGCCCCAGACCACGATGACCGCGTTGCGCGGCTGGCCGTTCTTGACCCGCGACACCCAGTGCGAGAAGGGAAGGACGCCGTCGCGCGCGACGGCGAAGACGAGCCGCGAGGCGGCGAGGATGGCGATCGCGGTGTTCTATTTCCCAAAGAATGTTTTGGTTAGGAGGGTTGGGTTTGGTGGAGAGGGAGGGGTTTCGGGGCCAAGGGGGACGGGACTCGTACCAGCCATAGGGCGACGATGCAGATTATGTTCATGAAGATGTGGCCGCCTTTGCCGAGTACGACGGCGTAGAGGGGCACGAAGGGCTGCGGGGAGCCGAAGGAGAAGAGCGTGTCTGGGTCGGGCTGGTGAACGGGTCAGTGGGTTTTGCTTTGGGTGTTGGAAGTGATGGGTGGGGTGGGGAGCTTACCGCGCAGAACAGGAAGAGGATGATCGTCGCAAGCCCGCCAATGCCGCTGACTACGGTGCTCCAGAAGATACCGCGGGCGGCGGTGACGGAGGCGTGCTTGGTCTCCTCGGCGACATGACCGGAAGCGTCGAATCCGATCAGGATCCCGGCCGTCGCGAGGTAGGACAGACACCAGTTCCAGCCTGCAGGGGCGCCGGTGCCGTTGTACGTGGACATGAAGGCCTCCTCCGCCGTGCGGAAGCCCCAGGTGTTGGCGGCGCCGATGGGCAGCCAGATCAGGTTGAGGAAGAAGTCCAGCAGGACGATGAGGGACGAGCAGTAGAAGACCCATTTATAGGCCCGGGCTGGAAGGATTTTGGGTTAGTTTGGGGGTGTGCTATCGCACATCTCAGGGGCCGGGGACGTTCGACATACGCGGCAGATAGTTCAGGAGCGCGGCCAATGCCAGGAGGATCTCAGTGCAGATCCACTGCACGGCGCGGAACTTGACGCTGGAGGTGTCTTTCGGAAAGTCGACGTTGAACACAGTCAACTCCTGTCGTGTTTGATCAGCACCCTGGGATCAATGGATTGGGGTGCGAATGACACATACGGAAAGCATGTAGTTCACGGCAGCCTGAGTGTTGCTGGCGCAAAACGTCGTCCATGCAGTGGTGCTCCACCATGCAACGACGAAGCCCAGGAGTCTACCGAACCGAGGGCCTCCCGCCTCTGCGGCCCAGAGGTAGATGGATCCTGCAGACGGAGAGGCCGAACATACTTCCGCAATGACCGCAGCAGTGATGTAAGTGAAGACCATGGTTACTAGGTAACTCGTCCTGTGTGGAAGCATGAGCCACCGGGCCGTGTCATTGGGATGTTGATAGCTCTCTCACCAGTAAGCCAGGTTACCGCCTGCTGCGATACCGGTGCTGAATGTGACCCGCACACCTCCGACAAAGTACAACGCGGCTGGCAATTGCGAGGTTAGCATGCGGAACTAGATGGGATCATGCTGTATGCACCGGTCGGGGCGCAGATTGCCTTACCGAATGTCGTTGAAAAGTTCTCAACCAGGGTGTATGTTCTATGCAGGACCTGTTCAGATGTATAAGCGGTTACCGTTTTCCATGTGGGTCAATGGCCAGTACTGACTGGCTTGTAGCCCATTGACTTCTGTTCAAGTGTGTTAGCATTGGAGTTCGCAATTTTCTTTCCTTTGATGCGCTATAAGATTCCGGAGATTTTGACGCGACACTTACCAAAAGTTTCGCATCTTCGTGAGATTCAGTCTGACTTCTGACGGGTTCAGCTTCGACAGGAAGTGTGTTGGGGTCAACCACCAGCTGCGACTGGTCCTGATGCGCCGGAGTAGCCATGATCGGGATGTTACCAAGGCCGAGCGAATCCAACACCGAGCGCTGGGTGTGTGTGTTTATACCAGACCAGAAGAAAAAAGAAGAAGAGAAAGAGTGTAATGAGATGGAGGTGATTGTTTTCAACAGGAAGGCGGGTGAAATTTGCTGATAGAATTGAATTGAGATTTGCCAGGAACCGGCAACCCCACCAGGTAAGCCGCCAACAAGATCCAACGAATAGCAGAAAAGACTCCCCAAAGAGTTTGAGCGGGTAACAGCTGAGGCCAGACCTTATAAGGAACCACTACAAGGTTCCGACGGGGTTCCGACAAATTTCACTACATATAAGATTTCATGCAAGCCGACAGTTTACGCAGGTGAGTCGAACGTGGTGTTGCCTCTCCAGAGAGTACCTTTTTCGTGGGTGATTCCAAGGCGATCGCGAAGGCTTGATTGAGTCCGGAGATGTCTGCTCCGCAAGAGCCGTCAGGTGAGGGAGCGAAGAAATAGAAGCTCAAGCTGCACTCTCCACTTCTTAGCCAGGATCCCAATCAGCAGTTGTGCATGGCAGGATGAGACCACCGTGGGTCTCAACGAGGGAACTTTAAGGCAGGTTGTAGGTTTGGTAGCATCGAGTTGGCCCCGTTTTCAGATCCATTCTAGCCGTACTTCAACATAACCAGCAAGTGCCTGGTGGTTAGCATTCAGATATTGAGGGGAAGACAAGGCCCTGTAAACATTCAGTTTTTTTTTTTTTTTTTTTTTTTTTTTTTTTTTTTTTTTTTTTTTTTTTTTTTTTTCCCCATCGTGGCCTCTACGGAGTGGATCGAAGCGACTCTTTTTGAGTCACTAAGTCGAGACTGATCGTTGGCGATCCTCGGGCGAGGCAAGCAAGGAAGCACGAGGAGGGCCGCGACATCATTCCGTGATCAAATCCCAGCGGGGTCCACTGCCGGTGGAGCTTTCAGGAAAAAATCCGTGCGCGGCTGCTATTATACTGGACTGCGTAAATGCTTTTTCGTTTTTGATTGCTGCTGCCAACATGTGCAGGGCATGATTGTAGCGAGAAATTCGATCCGACCATTGAGTATTTTTCTCGTATCAACATTGACAAGAGATTTTCCGTTATGAGTACAGTTTGAATCAGAACTCATGAACTCAAAGCCGGGGATTCGAGCCTCAGGCATCGTAGCACCGGCTAAACTGTACCCGACAATGTCACCTGCACAGTACAAACAGAACAAACAGCTCCAGCATAAGTTAAAACGTATGGTAGGTTCGGAATTCATGCCGATGTTGCGATGTCTTCTTATATCTCTTCCAGTAGATTTGTGATTTAGGATATCCTGTGGAGTATCATAGATCTTATCATGTCGTGCCCAAAATAGCCTAAGCAGCTACCAGGTTGACAGTCAAGTCGGAGCATAAACCACCAGGTCATCCCCCGCCAAGTGCCGCTGCCAACAAGCTCTCATTGCCAATCACGGCGCCTTCCCCACGCGAGCTTCCCCTCATTTTATGCCGACAATCTGTCCACCGTCACATCCCCCACGGCACCGTGTCATCGGGCGATCCGATGGAATAGAATACCGATTATCCGAACCGCAGATCCATCCACTCACTCGCTCACTCAACATCAGACTTGTGGAAGAATGGTCGCTGGTTTTCCCGCCCATCCCTTGCGCGCGTCGAGCCTGGCCTCCCCCGCAATGCCCATCATCCGTCTCCTCCTCTTCTATTTTAACCGCCCAGAACCACTCATTTTTCATTCAAAGCCATAAACTTTACCACTCAATCTTCCCTCTGTTTGCACTTGGTTGGATCATTCTGAAGTTCTTTGTTCTGGGAAAGCGAACCTTACGATCGACCCTTTATTCACCGCGGTGACTCCCGTCATCCTTCAGCGTTACACCATCTATGTTGCCTGGACGCCATTTCCCGCGAGGCACTCGTCATTAAGCCGACTCCGGACATGAAACTGCCCAGGATCCCGCCATTTGCTACTTAATCTACCGAGTACGACAATGAGTGTGCCCGTGTACCTGCGCTTGGCCCTTCGGCCTTGCCAGGCTGTTTCGACCACCTATCCTGGGAGATCGCTGCTTTGCCTTCAGCAGCCAGGCATGTGGCTCCCACTCTCACTGTGTGCCATTCAAGATTTGTGGCAGGGTTGCTAATGTTACTTGAGGTCGATAGTGGTGTCATCAACCCGAATTCCTTCGCATGCGCTCGGATACAATTACTCCGCCTCGCTGCTCATCGGAGCCTTACAAAAGACCTCCCGAAGATACGCGAGTAGTGCTCCCGAGCCCCCCGCTATCCCAATTACTCCTTACTCCTCGTTGACCGTGGGCGTTCCGCGTGAAATCTTCCCGAACGAACGACGCGTTGCCATCAGCCCACAGAATGCTGCTCTCTTGCTCAAGAAAGGCTTCTCGCGTGTTCTGGTCGAGCGCGGGGCCGGTGAGAATGCTGAATTCCTAGATAAAGCCTACGAGGAAGCTGGTGCGGTAATGGTGGACCGGAATACCATTTGGTCTCAGAGTCAGATCGTGCTGAAGGTCCGTGGCCCTCAACTCCAGGGTCCCAACAATGAAGTTCGGGACCTGCGCCAAGGAAGTACGATCGTCTCGTTTCTGTACCCAGCACAAAACAAGCCACTGGTGGAAGAACTTGCCGCACGTGGTGTGACCTCTTTCGCTATGGATATGATACCCCGGATCTCTCGCGCGCAGGTATTCGATGCGCTGAGGTGCGTAAGGTTACGTTGGAAGCTGTTGGCAGTTACTAACAATGCCTGAATAGCTCTATGGCCAACATCGCCGGGTACAAAGCGGTTCTAGAAGCTTCAAATCACTTTGGTCGGTTTCTGACCGGGCAGGCCACTGCTGCTGGGTAGGCGAAACGTCCCAAACTTAATGTCCGTGCACTAACGCTGTTGTTGATAGAAAGGTGATAATGCTCAAGTAGTGGATTGACTGCGTGTCGTGCTAAATGGTCGCTAGATACCCCCTGGCAAAGTGCTGGTCATCGGTGCTGGCGTGGCTGGCCTGAGTGCAATTGCCTCGGTAAGCACTACGTGATCACGGATTCTATTAGCTTCAATTACCGACAAATAATGTCTTAGGCTCGGAGACTGGGCGCTATTGTTCGTGGTTTCGACACTCGGCCCGCCGTTCGTGAACAAGTCCAGTCTCTTGGGGCCGAGTTCATTGAAGTCGACATACAGGAGGACGGCTCTGGTCAAGGAGGCTACGCTAAAGAGATGTCCAAGGAGTTCATTGAGGCGGAGATGAAACTTTTCATGGAACAGTGCCGAGAGGTGGACATCATAGTCACTACAGCTCTCATTCCTGGAAAGCCTGCACCTAAGCTGATTACCAAGGAGGTGAGAATAGACCTCATACCATACATTCATCGAACAACTTGCTTACTCTGATGTAAGATGGTCGCGGCAATGAAACCTGGCTCGGTAATCGTGGACCTTGCCGCAGAGGCCGGCGGCAACTGTGAAGCGACGGTTCCCGGACAATTGACCAAATACAAGGATGTTACTATCATCGGTTTGTCTATCCATGATATCATGGAGTACGTATGAACTAACTAGATCAGGATATACTGATCTGCCGTCACGCTTGCCAACGCAGTCATCGACCTTGTACTCCAACAACATTACCAAGTTCCTTCTCTCAATGGCCCCTCAAGAGAAATCCTTCGGTATAGACCTATCAGATGAGGTTGTTCGGGGTTCAATCGTTACCATGGACGGAAAGATTTTGCCGCCAGCGCCACGACCAGCACCACCCCCTGTTCCAAAGCTCGAAGCAGCTCTGCCTACAAAGGAGCAAGCAGAATTGGCAGTAACACCTTGGCAGAAGGTGACCCGTCAAGTTGCTGCTACCACCGCTGGTATGGGAACAGCTCTTGCACTAGGGAAGGCCACCGGACCTGTATTTATGGGGAACCTGATGACTTTTGGCCTTGCTGGACTCGTTGGCTATCGTGCTGTATGGGGCGTGGCACCAGCTCTCCATTCCCCATTGATGAGTGTCACCAATGCGATTTCTGGTGAGTCCGCCATAGCCTCTCTAGTCGTATCATTGTACTAATGGTTTCAAGGTATGGTTGGAATTGGAGGATTCTTCATAATGGGCGGAGGGTATGTGCCCAGCACGATCCCAGAAGCACTAGGAGCTGCTTCGGTCTTAATGGCCTTCATGAATATCTCTGGGGGCTTTGTGATCACCAAGCGCATGTTGGACATGTTTAAACGTTAGTGGTTTACCTCTCCCACGAGAAGTCTTCTGACCATGTTTAGGGCCTACCGATCCACCGGAATACCCTTGGCTCTATGCTATTCCGGGTGTCTTATTTGGTGGAGGCTTTGTTGCTGCTGCCAGTACCGGGATGGCTGGACTGGTTCAAGCTGGGTACCTCGTCAGCAGTCTTCTCTGCATTGGTATGTATCATCATGCATCTATTGTGCCAGTGCTAATTGCATTAGCTTCTATCTCTGGACTTGCTTCTCAGCAAACTGCCAGACGCGGGAACATTCTTGGTATTCTAGGGGTTGGCGCCGGAATCCTTGCTTCTCTTGCCGCTGTTGGCTTCTCTTCCGAGGTCTTGACGCAATTCGGCATCGTGGCAGGCGTGGGCTCGCTCGTTGGTATGTTCTTCGCCATGTTCTGGAAGTTGTGGTGTTGATAATCTCTAGGTGCACTAATTGGTCGTCGCATTACGCCAACGGGGCTACCTCAAACTGTCGCTGCCTTGCATTCAGTTGTTGGATTGGCGGCCGTGCTCACAAGCATTGGTAGTGTGATGGCGGATGTTTCACACATCTCAACCTTACACATGGTGACAGCATATCTTGGTGTTCTTATCGGTCAGAGATCGCATACTTGTCTCTTGGGCAGAGTCCTTGCTAACTAGAGCAGGTGGTGTCACCTTCACGGGCTCGATCGTCGCTTTCCTAAAACTTGCCGGCCGCATGTCCTCACGACCCACAATACTTCCAGGCCGACATTTGATCAATGCAAGTCTGCTTGGGACTAATGTGGCCACCATGGGGGCCTTCGTGACGATGGCACCCGCATCACCAATCATTGCTGCGGCATGTTTGGGTGCGAATACTGTACTCAGTTTCCTGAAGGGCTATACCACGACTGCTGCTATCGGAGGAGCTGACATGCGTAAGTCAGACATCGGCAGACACTGTGGCTGCTTGGCTGACAGACTGTAGCTGTTGTCATCACCGTACTCAATGCATACTCGGGTTTCGCCTTGGTAGCTGAGGGGTTCATGCTCAACAATCCGCTTCTCACAAGCGTGGGCTCCTTGATCGGAGTCAGCGGCTCCATTTTGTCATACATCATGGTCAGTGACTGAGCTTCCACAATCATTAAGCTTTTCTGATGTGATATAGTGCGTTGCGATGAACCGATCTCTAACAAACGTGTTGTTCGGCGGTATCGCTGTTCCGCAGCAAGCAAAGAAAATCGAAGGCCAAGTAACTCAGGTCACCGTGGACGATACTGCCGAGGCACTCTCAAATGCGGAAAGCGTTATTATCGTGTGTCTTCCCGTTTCCCCTGACTATGAGCTTGGCTGACCGCTGTAACAGGTTGTCGGGTACGGCATGGCGGTGGCAAAGGCGCAGTATGCCCTCGCGGAAATTGTTAACATGCTACGCTCCAAGGGCGTCAAAGTGCGCTTTGCCATTCATCCCGTCGCAGGGAGAATGCCCGGACAGTGCAACGTGCTCCTTGCAGAGGCCTCTGTACCTTATGATAGTAAGTTCCTGTCTTGGTTTACCTAGTTCTAGTGACTGATTCGGCACAGTTGTGCTCGAGATGGATGAGATCAATGACGACTTCCCCGATACGGACTTGACTCTGGTCATTGGCGCAAATGATACCGTCAACCCGATTGCTCTAGAACCTGACTCGCCCATCTCGGGGATGCCCGTGCTGCATGCATGGAAGAGCAAAGAGGTCATTGTGATGAAGCGTGGCATGTCTAGCGGATACGGTAGGGTTCTCACTTTGTTGAATATATGAGATCATACTAATTATGGGATAGCTGACGTACCAAACCCGATGTTCTATATGCCTGGGACCAAGATGCTGTTTGGAGATGCGAAGATTTCTTGTGATGGTAAGTATATTCGTCGATGATTCTGTTGTCGACTTCTTCTAACGGTTCATAGCTATCAAGAACGCCATAGAAGCGCGCAAATAGATTCTTTCGACGAATTCATGAATGGACATCGCAACGCGTCAAGATGGGATGGAGAACTCATAATTTAGGGTCAGGAATCTCCGATATTGCAATCATTTCGGACAGTATAGGATGTACCTAGTGCATCAGACATGGAGAAGACTTCATAATGTGCTTGAATCTTGTCGACGCTTTCATTCGTAGCTATTGTTATCGCAAGCAGACTAATTCGCATTACAGAGCGCGCGGTTATTCATTGAGGCGACACGACCACCACTTGAGATCTTGAAGTCTTTTGAAGTCGGCAGACTCCAGGCTAAGATTGGGGCGAGTCATTCACATTCTGAACGGGCCCAAGGTCACTGGAATCAGGAGATTCAGTATTGGCATGGTGCTTCCACACTGAACTCGGTGCCCCTCCGTAAAACACTTTATGACTTGAAGCAACTTTCACTCACACTCAATCACATCTGGACGGTTGCATTCCCTCTAAAGCAAGTACGTATTTACATAATACATTTATGATATAATCTGTTAACATTTCATCAGAACTACAAGACACCAGTGGATGAGCAGACCATTATTCAAGCCCCACCACCACCGGATCAAAATACGAAATTACATCCGTGGGCCCGGGGAGAGGGGGAAGTGTCTACGCCTCTCGCACCCGGTACGGCGTCGACGTCTCAGAAGCCCCCGGGCTTCAGCTGATTCTGCAGCAGCGAGGGCACGCGGTCCATCGCGCTCAGCACAAACCCGAGGAGGACCATATGGAAGCACTCACCGTTCGCCAGATCGCGGCCCTGCTCGTCGAAGTACGTCACCGTGAGCAGATCGGGGATCACGTCGCTGTCGCCGGGATTCTCTTTCTGGCGCATGGCACCGTCGAGGTCCAGGTCCAGCAGCACCAGATGCTGGAAGTCGAACAGCGCGACGTGGGAGATGCCCTGCTCGGCGCCGTACTTCCTGGCTTGCGGGGTGTGGGGGATGGCGTTGGCTTGGAGGCCGTGGGTTAGGATGGGGTTTTTTTTGGTGTTGTCGTTGTGGTTGTGGTTGTCGTTCTTGTTGTCGGCGTCGTCATTGTCGCCACCCCGCCGACGCTCCCCGCCCACGACGCCAAAGTAGTCCTGCCCGCGCACCTGGTTCGGCGGCTTGATCACCAGCACGGCGACGTCGGTGCTGAACCCCCACGCCAGCCGGAGGGTCCAGACGTACAGCTTCTCGCCCCAGGGGCCGTTCGTGAAGCGGCCGGCGAGCTCGCCGCCCAGCCAGCTGCCCTCGACGAGACGCTTCACCCCGGGGATCAGGTTGACCTCCGTCATCAGGCCGACGTCCTCGGCCGTCGCGAGTTTCGGCAGGGTCAGTGTCGGGAGCTCAGCGTCGCGGAGGCTGCGGTCCTGGGTGGTCAGCGCGCTGTAGCGCTCGCGCGCTTGGTCCAGGTACGTCTGCGCGGGTGTCCATTTGATGAGCTTGTAGACGTGGCCGTCCTCCGGGGTGGACAGCGGGGGCGCCTTTGTTATGGGCCGGTAGCGGGTTGGGGTGTAGCAGCGGGGAAGGCCGGTGTGGAAGGCTAGTTCCACGGTTTTGGTCGTGGCCATCTTGTTCGTTGGATATCGACCGTCTAGGGCTTTTGTTAGCTTTGCGGGGCAGTGGTTGATATGCTTGGTGATTTTGGGGATATTGGAAAGAGGGCTGTGATGAATGTGTTTGTTGGTGATGTTGTGGTTTATATACAAGTAGTCTCTGGGTTGTGATTAGATTGGAGGATTGCAGTTATCAGACTCATCTTGAATTTCTTTTCAGTGGTATCCAGAAGGATTTCATGAATGTTACTTGCTACAAAGAGTTGTTGTTGGGGATATACTTCTCATCTCAGTGTTTCATTATTCATCTTTCGGATGCTGAGCATATCTGCTGATGTTGTCAGTTTGGGTAAAATGCCTTTGGCAAGGTGAACAAAGCAACCATTGCAAAGCGCTTTGTCATATCATCCTAGTGATGAGGGTAGTAGACTTGCTTACCGCTGGCTAGTCGTGTTTGACGATACATCTCTCTTGGAAGCTCTAATATCAACTCTTCCACACTTTCACACTGTGGCTGAAGGAATACCAACAAGCACTATTGTATGAAAATGTCATTCTTGCCAGTCAGTGTATAGCCACAAAGGAAAGGGTTGGTATAGTTAGCCGATGCTACAGGACCAGATCTATTTCAAGCCCGCTATAAGTTATAAGGCTTGGTCCACTACCTGCAGATGCGGCACATTTGCACGAGGAGATAATTTGTGTCCGTGACAGACAGCCTTGAAGGTGATGTTCAAGGTACTTCTCCGCTGGTGAACGCTCTCATGTAGTCAAACTGAACGGCGGTTGCAATGCAATATCAAATTAAGCTCTCATCCGGATATCTGTCAGCACAATGTGCTGGGGTCTATCACTTTTGGCTCGATCTAGGACAGAGGACTACATAGTATGGCTTCGGCACATGCTCGGTCATATTCTGTCTACAGCTATCGTAAACTGAGCCCATGTAGGATCGAGTACCAACGAGCCACAGCATCTATGCTTCTTTCCTACCCCCCTCACATCAAAATATACTTGCTGGAAGATCGACAGTGAACTAACAGCCGCAAAACCTGGCCAACTGTTTTTTCATACTGGTATCGTTCCGTAAAATGGAAACACCTTCCCAAGCTGCAAGACTCCCGAGATTCGAATAATATATGCATGCAACTGTACGTCAGTGTTATATCGTTGATCGTCCTATAGGTGGACTACCCAGGACTACTGAGTAAGGTACTCTCGGCCAACTACCGAACCAGATTTAGAGATCCGGTTGGCACTTTTGTCATGTCAACAATCCAGCAAAAAATACCAAACTCCACTTGGCTCGAATCACCGTTAGCGGTTCGTTTTAGCTATCGGATGTCATTTTGCTGATCTTCATTACTTTCGTGTACCTTTTTCATGCTAGTGTGTTCGCGTAGCGACCAAATGCGAGCCGCCAAGAGAAACCCTCCCTGCGATCCGCTCCCCACCATCATACGATTGAATTCAAGGGAAGGAAACAAAAAAAAAATTGGATGACAGGGCAGCTAGACAAGAATGCATTTTCGACAAGCATATTTCCTACGTCTCAAGCCTGACTGGTTTGTGTATGGTCTCCTGCTTTTCCCCTGGATACCACGGAATCTAAAATTCGCCTTGTGTGTAGGGCGTAGAGAAGTTGTATGTTCTGCAGGCACTGTGCAGGATGGATGGATGTATGTAGGTAGGGCTTTGCGGCATGAAGGCACAAACCACCACCGCCATACTGAAACCCTTCCTCCCTTCCAAGTTCCCTCTTCCATCCCTTCCCTTCCTCAACCACCAACGCCATCGGCCCTACAACTCCAAAGACACTTGACACAAATGACGCAACAACCGACATTCTCTCCCCTCCTTTCTGTCGTAGAATCGAAACCCCGAACCCAGGCATGAAATTTGGCAGCTAATCAACTCTCCTAGATTCACAATCCGGTCCCTTCTCGGCTTGACAGCACCTGGCGAAAGGGGGGAAAAAAACGGGTTGTCATGCATCATATCGTCATTCTTCAGATACAAGAAGAAAGAAAAGTACTAGGCTGGATGCAACCCCGACCGCCGCTATTGTGCAGGGATAGTGCTCCTGCAGTGGTGTATAGACTAGACTAGACTAGACCTGGCGACTGTCCTGTTTGCCTAAGCGACTACAGAGTACCAAATAACCCTAGGCTTAAGTTGCTTAAGTACCGTATACACTGTACACAAGACCAAAAAGTCCACCTGTCATGCCGACTCCGAATTGTGATGAACCAATTCCACCCCCCCACATCGTTCAACGGTCTTGCGTGGAGACAAATGCGATGCATAGGTACTGTGCATACAGTGCAGAAGACAGAGACGGTGCCTCACTTTATCGGTCTGGGTAATATGCACCGTCCACCGTATGCTGTTGGGCAGAATAGGGGGGGGGGGGCGGTTTGGGGGTTTGTATATGACAGGAAAGCCTCGGTCATTTCGGAGTTTCCATTTCTGTAGCGAGTGAGTGGTGGGGCTCGTTGGAGTCAAAGTTGTCATATTGTCTGATTCTGTACATTACGAAAAAGAAAATCTCAACAGTGGTGAAGATCAGGGGGCAGGGGGAGTCTGGATAGACTTGACAGGTGTCTCCATTCTCTCCTACAGCAATCACAAAAGGATGTGAAGTGAAGGCCAAGGCACGTATTTCAAGGAAAAAATCTGGACTAGGAGTTGTTTTTAGTGTTTAGTTTAGGGGATTCGGAGATGTCAAGGGACAAATTTGGCAAAACGGGCTGTCATAGCCGGGCGGGTAGACTCCACTTCAGGTGGGTGACTTGACTTACGCTACGGAGTAACTTATAGGTTACTGTACTAAGTTAAACAGGCCAGGGAGAGCAGGAAGGCCGTTGGCGGCCGCAACGCTCGGGAGGTCTCCGCAGTTTATATTGCACGGTTGAAGAATAACGAAAGATTGAGTGGGTCGAGCAATAATACACAGCATTATGGCACGGAGGACGGAGAGGGAAGGGGGGGGGAAAGCAAAAAATAGAAGTGAGGTGTGGGATATGAAGATTCTTTCTTGGTACTGTCTGCTTATGCTTATATTTGCCGGTTATATGGACGGTCTATAGAACGAGGATGTTTGACCCCCCTTTGATCCTGCGTACTTCTCTTGCTGGTCAAGGGCGCATGTCACCCATTCTTACCCTTAAGGTATATCTTGACGACAACAGATGCGCGCGCCCGACTTTAGCGGTGTGTTGATGGTTGCGGGGGGAGGGTCATAATGTTTGCACTGTGAGGTAGTGGAGCACTCCAAAAGCTACAGTGTCGGGCCCGTGTGTTCTGACAAGCCCTTTTTTACTGAGGTATAGTGCGTACTCCGTCCCCCTCCCCGATAACACACCTCTCTCATCTGAACCTTGGTTGTTGTGTATCTTCAGATCCTCGAGTGGGAACCGGTGGCGTTCTATAATGTGCAGAGATTTGTCAGAATACGTTCGCGTTTCAGAAAACTGACGTTGGCTGCTCCCATATATAGAACACTTGAAACGCCCCCTCCCCCATTTCGATAGCGTGGTGATCGCAAAGCGAACCTGCTCCCCCCGGGCGCTCAGCGATAAAGTTGCTTGGCTATCTTCTCCCCAAATCAAGCAGCACAGCGGCTCATCCCCCCGACCATAATTCTCCGGTTGTTGCCCCCTCTTGTCGCATTAGCCTTGGCTTCTTCCAGAAAGTGTCAGGGCAATGGGTCCCTCAACCGCTGGGAGAGGCGGGCAAAGGGTGGGCTTGGAGCGAAAAGAATCCTGTTTCAATGGAGTCGAGTCTATCCAGACCTCGCCCGGCGTGAGAGCAAGAACCAGGCCATGGACGGAATTAGTGGCGATAATTGTTCATTATTGATCTTGCGACGATGAATATTGGCGGAAGCAATTGTTACAGCGGCTGCTGAAACAATGAATGCTTCCTTTGTGGTCGTCAATCAACGCCCGGGAGGATCATTGGGGATTGCCTTGGGAGGGGTGTCTGGGGGAGAAAGACAAAAAAAAGCTACGAAGCTTGGTCTGGGGAGAGAATGTGCTCCTTGAGCGGAGGCAGAAAATTGCCCGTCTGCTGTCGACGTCACGTCGCAGTGTCTGGCAAGGGGGGGTATATTGTGGCTGGGCTTTTATGCAGATGATAGGTACAATGATGTACTGCACATCAGGAGTATCAGATAGTAATTCAAAGTGTACAGTGCTCTGTAGGTAGGTAGGACGCACGGCACGGAATAATTCCAATTCTGCCCAGCTAAATTTAAACCAAGATAACAAGATCGCATGAAATTGGAGGTAAGACGTACAGTGCATGAGTGTCAATTGTTGATCGCTTCGCGCGCAGAAGCGCTGGGGTTGCATTGAGTTTGCGTATCAGTGGGATGAAGGATGGTGGTGGTGGTGGTGGTGGTGGTGGTGGTGAGGCCAGCAAGGGGAGAGGACGATGGAGTAGACAGAAACAGAGCTAAAAATACAGTTGGTTTAGTTAGTCTGCCGAAAGCACGGTCGTCCATCCTCTCTATACTACGATAAGCAAGTCCTCCGTGCTACGACCAGCCATCTGCATCTGCATCAGTCAGGATTGGAATCCCTCGTCAAGTACGGAGTACTTGGTAAATTCTTCCTCTGGCAAACGAACAAACAACAACTGCACAAGCTTCGTTGCTTTTTCTTTTCCTTTGGGGCGGACCAAGCAAACCAAGAGGCGGACCAATCTACCCCTGGCCCCTCCTCCATGCAATTCGGCTGTTTCAAGCTGCAACCACCGTTTGGACGTGTTCCTGCAGGTCGAATACAGTTCGGCCGTTGGCGGTTTGGGGAAATTGGAGTTCCTGAATGATAGTTCATTCATTTGGCTCTATACAACATTCTGTCTGGTTCGAATTCTGTTTCGATGGGGGTTGAGCGGCGTGGCATCAGATCATGGATTATCATATCTATTTTGGGCGATCCTTATTCTCTGGGCGGGCGGATAACACCGAAGATTATCCTACCACCACCAGTTTGACGGGGGATCGCCGAATGATTCGAGCGAGGATTTTCCCGTCTTTTCCGGATACTCACTGTCTTTGGTGATCCTCGAGGCCTATGCGAACTTGGATCTTCGGAGATCACGGATGGACAGTTTGTCGTTTGTGTGTGTTATTATTGCCTATACTTTTCAGGGAAGCTCCAACAACTAGACCTCTAATTGCGGCCATTCTCTGTGCCTTATTGTCTGTACGACTTCATCCGCCCTGGCAGAATTGAAGAAAATGGTGGCGATGCATGGCTTTGCTGCAAGGACAGGGCACCGTCGCTGCAGGGAGCTTTGCGTCTATCCACCGTCTCCAGTTGATATTGCTGGGGAAAAGAGGGTCAGGGGAGAAGAAAAACTCCCATTCGCCGGTCGGGTCAATCGGCCTTGGCGCCGCATGGTCTCAAAAAGTGGGTAATGTTTAGTGCCTCTGGAATAGGGGCAAACTTGTTCCTGAGTACTGAGGACGAGAAATATTTTCTTGCTTGCCATGGAATATATTCCAGTGAGGAAAAAGATTTTTTCATTAAAGTAAAAAAGTCTTCCAGAAAGGAAGACGGGCATTCTGAGTCGGTGAGGAAGTCGAAGCGGGAAGAAGTTCACCTGCTTTGGGGCCTGGTGTGTTTGAATTAAACATGCTCCACCGTCCTGGAGCGGCGGCGTTGAATACACAGGGTTTCTCAACGGCACGAACGGGACAATTGCTGGGAGACGATCTGGAGAGTATCTATCAAATCCCTGGTGGCAGTGATAGGAGTAGTATCAATGCACCTTTGTGTGCGGTTTCTCCATCGAGTGGTGTCAGTGCACTGTGTCATTTGATAGACCATTGTTCAGAGTCAAAATTGACTGATGCTCTGATCGAATGCGGTGGCATCGAGGCTAAAATGAGAAACCAACCAGGCACCCCCACCAAAGGTCTTGGGTTAGGGTGGAACCGGGCCAAAGCTCGATCGGGCCAGGGACAAGGAGAGAGTTTGTCGCTATTATTCAACCCGCAGTGAGTAGTACGTATGTCCGACGCATGAGGAGGTGCTGGGAAAGTCAAGTAAGCAATTAGGGTTGCAAGAGATCCTGCCGGTAGTTTGGGAAAATGCGGAGGATAGCCCAGGACAAGAGAGGAACGAACAAACAGGAACAGGTTCAGGAATTAGAGATGGTCACGAATCAGATAGAAAGGCCAACAAATGAGATTATCCATCGGAAGGAATACTACCGTAAAGATTGAAGGATGCACTTTCACTGAGCTGAGCTTTAGCTTGACTCACTTACCTACTACTTTACCTATCCACATGGCCATACCGGGCTTGGCATGAGTCGATCCTCATCATCATTGGTGATTTGGTGGTGGTGAATTGAGAATTGGGGGAACCAGCAATCTAGATGTGGCCGCCATTGATGCGCGCCACGGACTTTCCTTTCCCTCTTTGAGCTTCCTTTTCCCCCTCAATTTCCAGGCATTCAGGCACTCAGGCACCTAGGCACCTTGTCCCCCCCCCCCACCACCACACACATCCATCTCCGACAGCTCACGTTGATACGTCCAATCTCTTAGCGCTTCTTCCGCTTCTCCCTCCCCTCCCCCTTCCTCATGGCCGCTGTGAACCCAAATCCCCAAATCATGCTTTTACTCATTGTATAGTCCCTCTCGTGGCGCCGGAATCCTCCACAATTTGGCTCAATCTCGTCGGTTATCATTGCTTTTCCGGGCCAGGAGTGTGGTGATGACGATGAACAATACCCCGTCTATGCAAGGGTCGGCTGAACTGTCCCTGAGCTTCCAGTGTCCACACCCACACCTCCCTGGGGCTGCAGGAGGATCAGGCAAGGATGGAAACGTAAGCACCACCTTCATTCTCTTCGCGCGTCCTGGATTCTCATCCTCTTGTTCATCCAGGTTCAAGTTCCTCAGCAGTAGTACCTGGCTAAGGTACAGTGACTGCCACTAAGGCCGAGGTACAGATCACTAGCGCCAACCAAGCAGGATACAGAGGAGGAACAAAAAAAAGAAAAGCAAAAAAAAGAAGACAACTTCGGTCTCTAAACTCACTTCGTCCTAGGTCTTCCCCTGGTGGCGCACGTGTCATGCAGCATTGCTTTTCCTGCAATCCCCAATGCCCTCTTCTGACTT